TTACTTGCGTGGTGACATACACAAAACCATCACCTGCATGGTGGTCGGCGTTGGACCACCTGCGTGGTGGATCCATGCATGCGCTGTCACTTGCGTGGTGACAGGGGAGGCGGACCACCTGCGTGGTGGATCCCATGTGCTGTCACTTGCGTGGTGACAGACATGTTTGGCCACCTGCGAGGGACCACTACTGCTGTCACCTGCGTGGTGGCGGCGGAGGCGGATCACCTGCGTGGTGGTCGGCGTTGGACCACCTGCGTGGTGGATCCCATGTGCTGTCACTTGCGTGGTGACAGATATGTTTGGCCGCCTGCGAGGTGGACCACTGCTGCTGTCACCTGCGTGGTGACAGGGGAGGCGGATCACATGCGTAGTGGTTCGTGTATGTTCCTGCGCGTTGGCGCGCGGTGACGGCAGGGTTTTATGTCAGACATTGAATTGGTACACACGCCTTCATATATATTTTCGAGTGTATATAGACACCGATGCTCTTGCTAAAGGTATTGTCCGTATGTATGAGTCACCACAAGTTATATGTAGACAATGACTACATGGACGTGTCTGCAGGAGACCATGACACCAAGGGGGACGAGAAGAGCTCCTACTCGGAGGAATCTGCGGACTCGTCGATGCGCCGCCAAGTGGCGGCCAGGCAGGCGAAGAGGTCCATGCGCAGATCGCCGAGCAGCCACTCGCGACGAGCACGTTCGTCCCGAGTCAGCAGATCTGCGGAGGACGCTCGCGGACGGAAGGGCGAGTCTGCAAAGGCACAGCCAGAGACGAAGGAGTCGCCTGTGGAGTTGTCGCCGCACGCAACTCGCCCGGCAGTACCTGCAGAACCTCCCCGCGGCGGCGACGAGAAAGAGAATTGTCGCTTCTGTTGGAAGCCCATCTCCACCAGCCCTGCAGCTCGAGCACAACACGAGCACGGAAACGAACTGTGCATCGCCTGGCAACTGTATGGCCGGATGCAAAAAGAAGAGCAAAACGGTGCTGGTTGGAAGCGAGCACGTCGGAATGCAGCGCTGCTGATGAGGCAGCGAGACCAGGAGCAGTATCCCGAAGGAAGGGGTACGCGGACTGCGGGTCCCTCGAAGCCGGAGCAGACGGAGCGCCGTGAGCGGAGCCGTCGTGAGGGACGCAAGCAGCCGCGTGCTCCATCACCTTCTCCGGTGAAACAGACACGGGAGAAGCGCCGGAGTCCAACTCCGAGCTCCCACAGCCCGGATCGGAGGAAGCACCGCCGGCAGCAGCAGGTGGTCATCAATATGAGGTGGTGATGATGCATCGGACGCGAGACTCTTCCATGAGCAGCTGCTGAAAAAGATGCGAGGGCAAGGCGATGGTTTTTGGATGGACCTGCAGGGCGCGAGGTGTCAGGATTATATGTCACTCCTCTAAGATATGACTTAGGTTTGCACTGTATCTATCTATCTATCTATATTCTCTCTATTATGTATGTATATATATTTTTTTGTGGGGAGAGTTATACTTTATATAGACTACACCTGCATTACTCGATACGAAGTCGGTGCCTACTTCCGCCAGTACTGCGAGGCTCAAGGGGGGAGAGACAGGACACAGGCAGCCCGATATAGATTTGACCATGGCACAGACTGCGAGAGTGACACTACATGACGGTGTCTTGCATCGACTGTCAGAGTTACTGCGCTGGGCAGTGACTCGCTTACCTGAGTCGACACCCACGGGTGACGTCTGGGAGAATGTGTGGGAGTGCTGTCGCATGACGGCTTCTCGTGTGGAGGTGTCTCAGCGCCTGCATCTGACCCAGTGCGCTGCAGTCATCTTTGAAGCAGAGCACTGGGCTCGTGGGAATAGAGGCGACACTGCGCGCACCATTTCGTGCACAGTATCTGTTGTCGATGGGTGGGATCGGCTGGTCAAGCACAAAGCACTACACGTACAGGAACTCTATACAGCAGAAAATGCTTTGATGTGCTTGCTACCAGCTGCAAGAGCGGAAGTGTCCACGCTGCCAACTGCAGGAGCAGAAGTGTCCTGGAGAGACATCTCCCTGTGGCTGGAAACAAGCCTTCTCCTCATGATGGCGGTCAGGCGTGGGCTTGAAGCTGCGGCATAGTCGAATGTCCGCGCGTGTCCGCCAGTGTCCGCGGCTGTCCGGACACCGACACTCCACAGAGCTTCAGGTGACAAGCTTGGGGATGTCCGCGAATGTCCGCAAGCTCAGGTGGATAGGCGGCCTAGGACAGCAGGGCTAGGTACACAAGTGTCCGCGGCGGACGGAGTGTCCGCGTGAAAAAGCGCATGTCCGCGAATTGTCCGCGGCGCGTCACAAGAGTTGTCCCTTTCGTACACTTCTTCTGCGTTCTTCTTTGATAGTTTTTAGGTTCAGCTTTATGTTCTCTGCAGCCTTTTTCTCAGCCCACGACGTCTCGACTACCGACGCGGCCGCTCACTATGGCTCTTGGAACTGAGTCTGGGAAGCATCCATGCAAGTCTTGCGGGCAGCTGTTCACTGAGAGTGACGGTCGCCGGCGAGGTTGGATCTTCCAGTGCAACATCTGCGCATCTGCTGAAAAGCAGTTGCGCAGGCACCTGGGCGAAATTCCTGAGGAAATGAAAGGCATGTCCGCAGAGGAAACCCAAGGATTCTTTCGTGGACTGCACCAGGAGCGACAGCGCCTGCAGGCATCTAGCTCGAAGCAGCTTGGGTGGAACACAGTTCGCGCTGGTTTGGTTTCGAGTCTGACCACGAAGCAGATTCGGACATACCGACAAGAAGTTGAAGGCAAGTTCTTGCCCGCATCGGTCTGGGTGGCGCAAGGCTGGGATGAAGCGCTTGTGCTGAAGCAGAACAAGGAATGGAGTGAAGCCTTGGGATGCGACACCTACCAGATCCCGGTCAAAACCTTGAGTTGGTCTGACACATACGAGAAAACGGAGGCCCGCGTTTTGGAGCATGAGCGCACTGCTGCACAGACCAAGAAAGGAAAGGCGCACAAAGATGGAGAAGACCCATTGGATGTACCTGCGGCTGCACCTGCTAAAGGTCAGCAGGATCAAGACGACCAGAAGCGCGAGGCCTCGGCCAAGAAGGTCACACGCGAGAGTCTGAAACAAAATGCACTGGCCGCTAAGTGCATGCAGGGTCTCACCGCCTCTGTGATGTGCCTGGAGAAGTTGGAACCCAAGCTGGAGAAGTTGAAGAGCGAAGAGGGGTATGAGGATTTGAAGAAAACCCTTTGTGACACAAAGGGTAAAGTGATGCTGTGGTCCGCGGCTGCGCGTCGGACCTTGCAGGATCATGAGGCAGGGAAAGGTGCAGCGGCGCCGGAAGCCTTGGAGCCTTTGCCCTTCACGCAAGCGGATGTGAAGACGACGAGCTCCCAGGTCCAATTCCTACAGAAATCCGTGCGTCAGATGACCCCGAAGCCTGCGCCGAAGCAGAAAGCTGCACCAAAGAAGGCGGCAGCAAAGGCTGCTTCGGAGGAGTCAGCCCAGAAGCGGCGACGCTGCAATGGAAAGACGGCAGACCATAGCTGAGACCATCTAGCTGAGACCATGACTGCATGGGGACAATGCAGCGGAAGGAAGAAAAGGTGTGTCTACAGTGTTTTTGTTTGTGACCTGAGTGTGTTGTTTTCTATTGTTCGGTGGTTGCTTTGGTGCTTCGCAGTGGCATGTTTGCAGGCGAGGCTCAAGAGTTTGCCCACACTCGCGCACCTCTGATGAAGGAAGCTGAAGTGAAGTCTTTGCTTAACAGCACCAAATGGATTCGATCCATGCGCATGGGCCCACAGAAAGTACATTTGTGGACCGGCAGACATGACATTGGATACCACTACCGCTTGGAAGTTCTGTGGGCAAAAGGTCGGAACGCCGTGGAAATTTTCAGTAGTCCGGAGGCAGAACATTCCGCGAAGGATGTACAGCCAACCTTGTTGGACACCGCTCCGGAGCCGAATGCGCTGCAGTTCTCACCGAATGCGCTGCAGTTCTCACCGATTCGGATCAGTGACAGCCCCCTGTCGCACTCAAGCCAGACTGAACCGGCAACGTGTGCGGGCATGAAACGCCCGGCGGAACTGTCTCCAGTGGATCCAGAGTCGATGGGAGCAGAAGAGAAGCGAACAAAGCTATGGGAGCACATGCGCCGGCACAATCGGGTGGAAATCACGCGGAGCCCTTGAGCCTTTCCAGATCTATATCTCCTTAATTCGTGTCGAGACTCGTGTGAAGATACGTAGGTCTCGATTCAAGTCATGCATCTTTGCCAGCCTGTCAAAAAATGTGAGCGTGACATTTCCGGTGTTGAACGTTGTGCTGGGTTGCACGCATGTATGTTCGTTCTGCACGCCGCAGTTTTTCTTAGCCAGGGTAGTGTAGAAACATGAAAAAAAGGCGCCTCAACGCAGACGACCGACCGGCGCAGCAGTTCCATGCTCTGCGTCAGCTTCGCAGTCTCACAGACACTGAG